CCCCCCAGAGATGTCCATACCAGTTTGCATCTTTCTGATATCCCTTTCTCAATGCCTCTAGCCCAAAGACAGCCAGAATTCCCCAAGGAATAAATCAGCCATGTTCTTAGGGAAAGGGTTAGGTTGTAGATGGGGGCTCCAACTTTGATTTCTGGAGTTGAACTCTAAAGAGATGGGGGAAAGGAGTTGTTGATCTGGTGAGGCCATGCCCTTTTGGCTGGATATCTTTTTTGGAGCACTTTGCACAAATCTTGGTGGCTGATCCATGAGACATAGCAGCAAGTGCCCAGGCTTTGTGTGCAGACAGGCTTCTCCCAGCCTTAATTCTGTCACTCTAGCTTTGTTATTCTGGGCAAGTGGCTCTCCTCCCTGAACTGGTTTCCTCTGTGCAGTGGGGATAAAGACTCCTGGCTTTGTCATGGTGTATCACACTGGGCACATAGCAAACTCCAGAATGAGTTAGTACTTCTCCCCATTGCCCTGGACTTGACTGACCCAAGCTCTGATTTCCCAGGGGACAATGAACCCCCTGGTGAGGCGGCTCGGGCACGTACCCGGGAGCTGGGCCGTGAGAACCGGCGACTTCAGGACTTGGCCACCCAGCTCCAGGAGAAGCACCACCGTATCTCTTTGGAGGTGGGAGTTGCATTTTTTGGGATGGGTTTAGACCCAGGGCAGGGTTTAGGTTAGGTGGACACCCAAGGATCTCAGGAAACCAAGTCTCCTCATCTAAGCATCTGCCCTCTTCATTGTTCTCAGTACTCTGAGCTCCAGGATAAAGTGACATCAGCAGAGACCAAAGTGCTAGAGATGGAGACTACAGTAGAGGACCTGCAGTGGGACATTGAGAAGCTGCGCAAGCGTGAGCAAAAGCTCAATAAGCACCTGGCGGAGGCCTTGGAGCAGGTGGGGCTAGAATGCTGTGTCAGATGGAGCCAGGGCTGGGTACTTAAGGCCCTAGGTTCTCTCCTCCACACTCATCAGTCTCTCTTCCCTCCACAGCTCAACTCTGGCTACTATGTGTCTGGGAGCTCCTCAGGCTTCCAGGGGGGCCAGATCACACTCAGCATGCAAAAGGTGAGCAGGCATCATTCTTCGAAGTCCCTCCCGTAATCTTTTCTCTACCCTTGGAATTCCCCACAGAATTATAGTGTCTGAGGCCCTTTCCTGTCACTCATGGTGCTCTTGTATTTGTGCACAAATATGTCCACTAAGTAATTGCTAAACACTGTTAGAAAGCAGGCGTACTGGAGAACAAGAGAGACAAAATTCAAAGCTTTCACAGGGCTTATGTTCTAGTTAGGAGAACTAATAAGAAGTAAGTAAAATAGTACATCAGTTGGTCATAAGTACCACCAAAAAAAAGCACAGATAATAGATAAGTGGAAGTGTTGGAGGCAATTGGAATTTTTAGTTGGGTGGCTGAAGAGGAGCCTTGCTGAGACAGTGCATTTAATCACTGTCTCATATCTTGTCCTACCTTTGCTCTCTCACCTCTTGGTTGTTGTATGTTTTCTTGGTGCTGTGGGGATCACTGCACCCTATTTCCCTTTCCTTCAGCTTGCTCTTCAGGGCTTCCAGGAAGGCTTTTTCTTCCACTTGCCTGGGAGCTCTTAGGAAAGTGCTTAGGTCTGGCTTGTCCTAAGCACTGGCTTGGCCTCAGAATACATCATTGCTGCACGTAGGGGAGCTTGATGGGGCTTATGTGAGGGAATCATGCCTCCTGGCCTGGCCCTGACTCCCACGGCCCTTCCCACTCCACAGTTTGAGATGTTGAATGCAGAGTTAGAGGAAAACCAGGAATTGGCCAACAGCCGCATGGCAGAGCTGGAGAAGCTACAGGCCGAACTTCAGGGGGCTGTGCGGACCAATGAGCGCCTCAAGGTGGGCTGTGTTTGGGGCTGGGAGGGCCTAAGACTACAAGGTGGGGCCTGAGCCCTGACATTTGGGCATCCCTGCGTTTAGGTGGCCCTACGGAGCCTTCCTGAAGAGGTGGTACGGGAGACAGGGGAGTATAGAATGCTGCAGGCCCAGTTCTCACTGCTTTACAATGAGTCTCTGCAAGTGAAGACGCAGCTGGATGAGGCCCGGGGGCTGCTGCTGGCCACCAAGAACTCCCACCTGAGACACATTGAGCACATGGAGGTAAGGCCCTGGAACAGGGGTGAGGGCTGAGGGTAAGGGCCAGACCCTGAGGGTCAAGGCATTCCTGAGTCAAGTGCCTGTATGCCTGCCAGGGGTCCCTTGGGAATAAACTCTTCTTAAGCCACTGAGGCCTAAGGTGGGGGGCTTGCCACAGGGCAAAGG